CCGAGGGGCAGTCAATCACTCATTCACTAAACCAAGACATTCTTGACTTAAACACTAATTCCAGAATAACTCTTGTTCCTATAGTGTTTTAGTTATCGCTATTTTGGTCAAGAATATACTAACTCTTAGTAATTCTTCGCAAGTGTGACCCACCAATTTCAGACCTCAGAAATCGGTCCCAACAACGCTATCGAATGAAAAAGCCAAAGTTGGGAATGGACTTAAGAAATCCTATCCATTTCTGGAGTTTGCGTTGTTCCGACTCCCATGTTACGACCCTCCGAATGGGTAGTTTCTCTAGGGCAACATGCAGGCGGAACATGGGAATCTCACGGTGCAACCTAGTGGTGGAGACCATAGGACGTGTTGACTTCCTTCTCCCACTTACTATAAATACTTTCTCAATTCACCTTGTTATTGACTCATGCAAATACCTTCCGAATGGAGGACGCTCCGAGGGCGACACGAGGCCGAGCATGAATCTCACTGTGTGAATTTTACAGAGAGCGTGAAGAGAAAACGATGTATCTTATACACCTTTTTCCTCCCACTAAGTATTTTAGATGGTTGGGTATACTCTTTACTTAAGTATATTCCGGCTAATTAAATATAACTTAAGTCTAGGTGATTTTTCTAAATCTTACATCACTTAAGCATGCTCATAAAACTGGGCTAACTAAGCTCAAGTACTGGTCCGATCTCCAGGTAGTGGGTGTTCCGTAAACCGTCAACTTAAGTACCTTCAGCCTTAGACAAGATCGTGCCAGGTGAGCTTTCTTGTAACCGCAATTTTATGAGACATCGACCCTTTTTAACTGTTAAAATTGATCGTGCTCGGTTCTTAACCCTTAGTGAGCATGCACTTATCTTTATTATAGATTTTAACGTCTACCTCATTTTATGACGTTGAAAATAACCTATAACATGCTTTATATAACAATTTATATAATCATCCATTCCATGCAATAATATAACAATTATATCTATCACTCATGCAACCCTAAGACATGCATACTATACATTATAACACTTATAACATACTTGGAATGCATGATACATGCTTAGCCTATGGTGGGATTTTAAATCTATATGACATACTTTATGCATATACATTTTCTATTTAATTAAAACATACATTCATAATGCATAATTAATCAAACACACTAAAGTGGGTTGGTTTTGGCATTTTAAAGCAAGCAATTAACTAAATTATTACATTAATAATTAAAAATAACTTGAGCCGCTCCCGAGGATCACGAACTGGACAAACCAACCCTTAAAAATGTTCAATCGGTCCCCAACGACAGAAAAGACACCCGAACCGCCTCTTCCATCTTCTTCGGTTCAGCTTGCTTATCTCTTTCATTTTCGATCAATTACAACCTAAAATGGACTCTAATGACTCCATAAAAATTACAGACCTTTCTTCATTCATTAAAGCCCATACACCTTAGGCTTATTACAATAATTGTATCAAATGGAAGCATAAAAAAAATGCCAAAACCAAAACCATCCACTTTAGCAACCACAAATTTCATGTATGAAATGGTACCCACCATGATCAAATTAATGCAAATAAAGTGCCTAAAACTTGCTCTGATACCAATTGATGGTGTTAATATAACACATGCGGAAGCAATTTGGATCTTAGGCACTTTTAGAACATCAATTATTGTAAATCACTAGCATGTTCATAAGTATTAAAACTTAATGAGTTTAAGTACTAACCTTTTGTAGTTCAAACTCCTTTTGCCTCACGAACCGGTTTCGAACCACCACTAGTGTCTTCTCCACTATCCTCCGGCCTTAGAACGGGATTGTGGAATCCGGTGAGTGACTAAACTTGGGAGGGATTTTGTATATGTGAAAGAGAGTGTTTGTGAGAAGTTTTTCTCAAGGTTTTTCATCAAGATGAAGAATCCCCTCCAAGTATCATGATCACTCTATTTAAAGAGTCAAGTTTGCATGTTCATGCAAACTTGAGATCACCAAATTTTGACACTTAAAATTCCACTCAAGAGTTTGGGATTATGTGGCAAGCATGCATGTTTGAGTTAACCAAATTTTGACACTCAAAATTCCACTCAAACTTGTGGGGTTTATTTGGCAAACATGCAAGTTTGGTTAAACCAAATTTTGACACCTCAAAATTCCACTAACATGGATTTTTCCATTAGATGAAAGTCAACATTTTGACTTTCTTCATTTTAATTCAACAATTAATTTGAATAATGAATTTCAAATTAAAGTAACATTAAATGATTAATTAAACTATTTAATTAATATTTAATATTAATTCAAATGCCAATCCCAATCAATTCCGACACATAATTGATTAAGATATTTAAATCTTATTTAAATATCTCAGATTCTCTCTTTTCGTTTAATTCGTAAATAAAACAAAATTGCGGTTAAATATATCGTATATATGTAACGCATATTCCCTAATTTGAATTCGAACACTTCGAACTCACTCGTCACATTGTTCTATGGTTTAGTCCGATATGAGCTAGCAGAGGGACCTAATGGACCTATAGATCATGGGCTCCAATGATCCAAGATTAACCGATTAAACTCATTAACCTTGTTAACCAACATTCGTTAACTACTAGGACACTCCACTATAGCCTAGTAGTTGCACTCCCCTCACTATAGATATATTTCTGTCCATCTGATATAACCATGATTAGTAAGTCGATCCTTCACAGGTTGTTCGTAACTAGAGCTGGGTCAATTTACCGTTTTACCCCTGAAGTTACTTCTTGTTCCTTATGTCTCACTGATCCTCTAATGAACAATTGGTTTGTGGTCCAACCAGTAAACCAAATCCCTCTCAGGCCAATGAGAGGGTGGGGCCCCTTGTTCAAGACCTGGAGTCAGTGCTTAAGGGAACTACCTTTCTTCTATCCCTAAGTGGGTAGGAGTGAATTCCGTCTTGCACCCCACATCCCCAGCCATTCACCCAGTCTTACCCCTGAAATGGGAGGCCTGTTGAGTCGGCGAACTAGAGCCACTCTCACCCATGCAAATCTAAGGATAATTCCGAATAAACAGGAGTTCATGGTTAGCTCAAGATTAAAACCGAGTTACCTAGGTTATCGAATGAAAAGAAAATCAGTCTCAACAGTAAACGACTTTATAAAGTGAGAGTGGTTTTCTTCATGGTCCGATCTTATGCAATACTCATTGCATAGGACGCCCCCACTCACATGTCTCCACATGCACAATTTAGTGATCACATTGTTTATATCATATACAAAAGTGGGCCGCATCCATAGTGTCCCCAGAATAAGGTACTCAGCCTTATCCTTATACTATAGATCATTTTGACTATATACTTGAACTTGATCCACTCTTATGTCTCTACATATAGTTCAAGTAATCATACTATAGCCAGAGTGTTCTTAGTTTATTGGATTTAGATTAATGATCGTAAAGTTCACTTTATTCAATAACAATTTTTACTGAATAAACATCAATAATAACTTTATTGAAAATAGAATATATCTTTGTTTACAAACTATGAGTTTTAGGACATAAAACCCAACAGTAGCCTCCCGTGACTGAATGTAGGTATTTGATTGTTATAAGTAAGGATGTATTATGTGAAATATCATGAGAAATATCTCAGTATTGCTATTATGCTTTAAGCTTCTTTATATGTATATGATTAATTCATGTTGAAAGGAGGATGGGAACTTGTGAACTCTGCGCTCCAGGAGCTTGGTGGATGTTATCGCCCCGTTGAGCATGTGTGTTTATTTTGCATGAATTTTTTATGATGATGCTGAATGATAGTTGTGTGCACACTCAATTAATTTCCATGACCCATAGGTATGGTAAAGTCTAGGAATATGTGGTTAGAATGACAAGTCACTAAGGTATAGACCTAACCCTTCCCCTAGTAGAGTAACAAACCACCACGGCGTACGAACCCTTACTAGAGTACCCTTAGGCTACATGTGTGTGATTAGTGTCATAGCTTCGTGGGGGACTAGGGGGTTCCTGATCAGAATCTGACTACTCTTAGCTATTTTAGCATGGAACACGTGTGCCCACGTCGTATAGAACATTTAGCTGGATGGGTTAAGGGGGGGTAGCTCTCCCCGACTAGGGGGACTGTCATGGGCCTAGGGGGTTGCAGCTCACTTCCTAGGTAAGATATCAAATAGTCTCAAAGCCATGCCGATGTAGCTACTCGTAGGGCACCAGTCATTACACAGGTCGGCATAAGGGAGCTCTTAAGGATTTTTAAATGAAAGGAAAAAGAACCAAGAAGTCGCGAGGGGCAAGCCCCAAGGTGCTAAAATGAAAACTAGATGTCCTAGAGCTAAAGTAGAGTCCGTGAGGGTTTGTTAAGATTAGGATGTGATATGAGCCTACAAGTAGGTGGCTTACTGAATATAATTTTATACTCATTCTTGCTATACCTTCCTTTTTTAGGTACGTGAGGCAATGGGTCAAGAGAGGGCACGTTGAACGATGTGGATTGTCACAGAGGGAGCGTGTCCCGGGGCGCCAATCTGGTCTTTCGGATTAGTACACTTTGTCTTTCACGTTTTCTTTCCTTGTCTATACCTAGTCACATATGTCCTCTTTGTATTGAAACGCTTTCCTTACGAAATAAACGATTCATTTTTTTTTTTTAAAGAATGTTTTCCTTGAAATTCTTGCATACACGCTACACGTCATAGTCATTGTTAGTCACGACTTGAGATTAATTTTTTTTTCATGACAAGATTCGACAAGAAATTTATATTGTGACCAGAATCTTTAGAATGTAAAATTCATATGAATTCTAATTTCATATCAGGGTGACTCTAAAGTTCATAATCAAACTCTTCACATGAATTTTGACAATTAATGCATTTAAAGAAGGGCAAAATCATTCATTTGAAAGAGGATTCCTACGTGAGAGGCCTCCTCAACGTGAGTAAAACAATGGAAGAACTTAAAAGTGAAAGTTGCACTAATTTAAGAAATGATCCTGGGTTTGTAATCAAAGAAAATTCTTTCCGTTGGTATGAGGTTTAAGCCATGCTTAAAATGGACAATATCATACTATTGCAAAGAGTCATATTTGTTTAACAGAGTCATGCCCTAAAATTAGTGCCAATAGATTGATAAATCTTCAATTGTCGAAATGGACTAAAAAAAAAGGAGTCAGTCTCCTCGAGGCATAATAAATTCGAGGGGAGGTGAATTTTATATGATAAATTTATTTATTTTTGGATGGATAGAAAATTAATTTTAAAGATTTTGTTCTAAAACAGAGAAAGTAATAAGAGCAAAATTTGTTTAACTAATTATTTTTATTTACTTTGAATTTGAAATTATTTTTTATTTATTTTGAATTTCAATCCTTGTATTTTGCTCAGCATTTTCCTTACCTTTTATGATTTCCTTACCTTTTCAAGTAACCAATGGCTTAGAAAAGTATACTTTACAGTAACCAATTACTCAATTACAGTAACCAATTACTGTAAAATGAATTTATTTGTATGGAATAATTATGAACCGTGAACAAACTGGGCCAGTGAAAATAACAACTCAATGGAGTGAATATTTTTTGTTTAGGTTAAAAAAGTTAAAAAAGTATCTTCAATTTTACCTTAATATCATTGTAGGAGAGATATCTTGGAAACCCCATATTTATTAACAAAAAAGAGAGAAAAGAAATTGTCCAGAGCCACAAACCCCAACCCCTAACCCCAACCCCCAACCCCCAACCCCCAACCCCAACCCCTAACCCCAACCCAACCCATTACGCTACGAAAACAACAGAGGCATCACATGAAAACCCCAAACCCAAACCCCGTTCTTCTTCTTCACTCAAAACTCACTACAAACGAACAAACAAACACACCAACCCCAAACCCCAAAGCAAATTAAATGAGAAACTTCAAGCATCTGCAACCTCCGGCGTCTCTCCCGCCGCCAGTACCATCTCTGCTGCTTCCACTTCCCCATCAATGCTGTTCGTCTTCCCCAACGCCTTCAGCGCCAAGTGCGCCGCCTTCTGCCCTGATATCATCATCGCCCCGAACGTCGGCCCCTGCATCCACCAATTCAAAACATCTCATTCCAATTCATTCAATTTCATCATCATTTATTCAATTTCATCACCCATCCTTACCATTCTTGGCGCTCCGTCGATCTCCGCAACCTCCATCCCTGTCACAATCATTCCCGGCACCACCTCTCTCGTGAATCTAACAATGGCATCCTCCGCCGAGTTCATGTCCAGCGCCTTCATTCCCGGCACGCTGTCGATCATCCCGATGCTCTTCAGCCGCTTCACTCCCGTGGCGCCGAATGGTCCGTCGTGCCCGCATGAGCTCACCACGACCTTAGCTTCCATCACATTGGGGTCCATGCAAGACTGTGTGTCGTGGTTCATGGACACCAGCGCCCAGTTGGTGACCACGCCGCCGACTCTGCCTTCCTTCACGATCAAATCCTCTGCCGCCACGGCGTTGAACAGCTTCACGTTTGGCCGGGCCAACAGCTTGCTCATGATCGTTGATGTGAACAGAGCTGCGTGCTTTATCACGACATAGTCTTCTTGTTCGTCGTACTCCACTTCCAGCTCGTCCAAGAAGTAATGGGCTGGCTTCCGCACCACCTGTTAAATTCAACTCAAAATCAAACATTTTCCCAGGCCTAAGAACTTCAAATCTCCCAATTAAATTCAATCTCGGGGTTCTAAAACGACATGCATGAGTACAAATCATGAAAATCTGTGTGGGTTTTTCAAAATTTTGGGTATTTCCAATGAAAGAACAAAAAACAGAGCATCCATCCAAATATGGAAGAAAAAAAAAAAAAAAAAGAAAATGAGACGTTATGGGTATACATGGAAAGGGAAATGAATTTGTTACCATAGCAGAGAAGAGCTGGCCGCCAAGCCATGCACCACCGCCAGGGCTGACGGATTGTTCGATGATGGCGACTCGAACAGAGGGGTCCTTGCTGAGTTCATAAGCGCAAGAGAGACCGGCGGATCCAGCTCCGACAACAATGACATCAGTGTCGGCGTAAGTGATCATGTCGGTCATGTAGCGGCGGGTCATCTCCCGGGAGACGATGGACTCCCTGATGGGGTTGAATTTGAATTGGTTCAAATCGTAGGGAGGCTGAGCGGCGGAGGCGGAGATGGAGAGGGAGGCGGCAGCGGTGGTGGGTTTGAGGCGGAAAGAAGGAGTAGGGAGCAAAGGGGAGCCATGGAAGGAGGATTCGAGCAAAGAGGGCCTATGGAGCTTGATGGGGAGAGAAGAGGCAATGGAAGCCATTTTTGCAGCAGATGAAAACAGAGGAGATGTAATTTTGGGATGAGAGTGTGTGTGAAGAAGATGGGAAGGAAGAAGGGTTTTATAGAAGATATCGAAGACTACCGCACACAATTTTACATCTAAATTTCAAATATTTACAAAATATAATTATTATATTTAGATATTTAATTTTTTTTTTTTTTAATTTTATGACCTGATAACCTCATCAATTACGTTTAAGTTCTAGACAGACTTATATTTTTTTGTCTGACCAATCCAATCAACTTAAAATTAGGGTTACAATTTAACCCAACCCACTTTTACTTTTATAATAATGCGTTATAACGGGTTTGGTGGTAACTTTATTATAAATAAGTATAATAAATGAGAATTGTAAAATAATTAAAAAGAAAATCGAACCCTGCTGACTTTATAAAAAAAGGATTTTTTTAAAAAAAATAAAAAAGTTAAAATATCTGGGAGGGGACACGTGGGGAGAGGATAGAAAATGAAGGGTTGAGAATGAGGTGGTAAGGTTGTACACGTGTCATCCATGATAGCCATTGTGATTAAATATATATATTATATTTGTTTTCCAATATCTGACGTTTGCTCAGAGATATTTTTATATATCAAAAACATATTTATATATGCGCCACTCCTTTTTCTTTTAATTCTTTTCCACTCATTTTAATGCCATTTTTAGAAATATATTGTTTGTATTAATACCAATTTTTAACGCTAATTAAGTCAATTAATTATAAACATTTGTTCATTTACTAAATAATTTCTCTAAACTGAGGGGAAAAAGAAAATCAAATTTTATTTAACAAAAATAAATAAATAAATAAATGCTAATTTATTAAGATGGAAATAATGTATTTTTTTCTATTTGATATTATTAAATTCACAAGATCTTTCTCCTATCTCACTCCTTTATAATTGACGTCTCCATCATTAGCTACATCACATCTCAACTTGTTCTCGTGCATCCACTATTTTTCGTCCTCTTCGATTTGAGAGCGGACTATTATTAAAACCAGATGAAACCTTATAATTCGAGTTTTTTTTTTATTTTTTTTATTTTACATGGGCTCTAAAAAAATTGTGTGTAAATAAAAATTTATGCTCTTCTTGCTTTCGTTTTTGCTCTCTCGATCTCTTGCGAGTTCACTTTTTTTCACTCCTTCATGTGAATTTGTTGCATGTTTGAAAAAAATATATCGTACATTGCCGCTAGTCATTGTGTGGTGTTCACGAGACCTTGTGTTTGTGTCGCTTAACACACTACTTGCCATCGTCAAATGAAGATGAGAGTGAAAAAGTTGTTGAAGAAGAACGGGGAGGTGAAGCTTATGAAAGAAAAAGGAGATTCATGTATAATGTTACTCGAGTTATAAAAACATAATAATTGAGAGCATAAAACAGATACATTTAAAAAGAATCGAAAACGATCAAATTTTATTTAGATCAAATTTGTCGGATAAATCTCTAAAATTATTCTTTTATATTTTTTAATATTGATTATTATATATAAAAATGTGGACTCTATTTTTAAGAGAGCGATAAAATTGTCACTTTCATATAAAATCTTTAATAATTAGTAACTTTAAATAAAGGCGATTTAAACAGAGGAAAAAAAGAAATGAAAAGACTTCAATAACATTATTGTTTTATATAACATGCAAAAATAATATCTTTAAGACGAACAAAGTTAAGGTGGTTTTTATGTGGCAGCTTCGTCATTCATTTATGTCGTCTTTGTCAAGGGCAAAATTGTCAATTCATCATCACAAATTTAGCTGTTTTTTTTTTCTTTTTAAATGTCAATCCAACATTCAAACTTGTTCTCATAAAAAATTTTAAAATATGGTTTTCTTAATGTTTCAAAATTCTTATATTTTTCTAAAGACTAAATTAAAGAAAATATTCAGAATTTATATTACAAACTTTAGTCGCGTTTATTTAGGTATGTGGTTGACAAATATTTATATAAAAATTAATTTCGAATAGCTGGATATGTGGTCTATGTTTCTTGTTAAGTAAATATTTTGTTTTGAATTAAGAATCCAAAGTAATGAAAATACAAAGAAATAGGTTTGAAATGTAAAACCGGAGGAAAAATACGAAAAAATTAACTAGGGGAACCAACGAACGACGGTAGAACACGTGTCGATCAACGGCGGTAGTAGCGTGTCCTAGCTAGAGGTGGACATACGTCAAATGCAAACCAGATGAATGCATCCTCCCTCGAGCAACGACACCCAGTGCGACCTGATAACCAATTCGTACTTACAACCTACATCCACGACTCAACCTAAGAACCAGTGTACAAACTCGAACTAACACATGCGAATCAGGTTGACCCAGCCTCCACCATTTGACCCGACCAGACCCGTGCGCTGGCCTAGAACCCGCGATTGTAGCTTCGTTTGGCCCGTGATACGCATGCATAAGGATACCTTTCAATGTGTGTAGAACGCATGAGCCACATGTGAATTACTTTTTCTTTGTCGTTTGACCCCCCATTTGTCAGTTTTTCATCCCGATTTTAATACTAATATCACTCGATGTGAATTAGGTCCCACTAGAGGAAATTTAGAAAATTTGGACACCTCTTTGATGGGAAATCGTACTCGAAAAGATACACGACCAAACTGTGAATAACCACTAGAAAATTAGAATGCAATGCTTGTTTGGTTATGCATGCATGCTAGTAAAAATCAATCCTAGTTGGCTT